GGTGCATCTTCATCCCCCACTCCTGCTCAAGCCGCTCCTGCTGCCACTGCTGCTCTATGTTGCCCTCAACCTAAAAAGATAAGAAATTTAGTGTGCATGAAGACCCTCAAAGGAGGAAAGCCTCGTTCACAAACCTCTTCACCAACCTTGTCTTTGTGCTATTCTCCTTTTGCTTTTTTCAAAATGCCCCATATTTATATTAACAGTCAATGTTTTTTTTTTATAAAGAAAATTATTTTACATATGGGCCTCCTCTTTGGCCCAATTCAAAACAAAATTCCATCACAGATATTAAAATCCAAACAGAAAATACTCTGTCTCAAATCCTAATTAGTTGTTATGTCTAATACCTAATTTTTTTTTATTGTATTCAATCCCAATGTGGCCTTCCCAAAGTGAGCTCCAAATTGACATTCCGTGATACATATGGGACTTCATCATCTTCATCACGTAGGCCTTCATATGGGACTTCATAACTTAAGCCGTTTGGATACATCATGTCCGCCCGAAACAAAAGATATGTACGTATATATGATATGCTAACAAATACGATGAATAAATAAAAGGGTAAATTTTATTTTACTATTTAGAGAAAGATGGAAGCATAATTTCCTTTATTTTGTTCCGTTATGCCCATGATATATATGCAAATGACAACTTTAAAATTAATATTTCAAGGTTATATATGTGTGTCTATATATATATATGTATGTATGAATGTTTTGGAAATAATTTACTTTAAATCGTAATTAAATTGGTACCTTTACCCCCTGATCATCGACAAATGGTATATTTGCAGGTGCATAGGACTTTTGGATTGGATGCAACAAAGTTTCTTCCGTGCTACAAACCAACAGATTGAGAGAAAATTTTCTATCTGTGGAATGGAAGCCACGCATACAAATGAAAAAACAAACAAAGATCAGAAAGCAATCTTTTACGACTATCTTGTTTATGAGAGATAGAGAGCTAGGGTAATTAGCCACTCTCTCTCCATCTGCTCGCACTTTAGTGTTTAATTTTGGGATGATTGAAATAAAATAGAATTCCCATGTGATATGATATCCATTAAAATACCCCTTAATTATTTCTTAAAATTTCCATCTCGTCTCCTTCCAAAACTAAATAAATAAAGAACAAGAAGCCTTCCTTTTGTATTATCTAAGACTGCAAACCTGCCAAAAGATTTAATATACAAATTAATTAAGCAGCAGATGAGCAGTTTAATTCGTGTTTACCTTGAAGAATTTTCCTTGGAGTCCTTGTTATCTTGAACATGAATAGTCTGACCTAATGTATAAACCCACAGCATTATTAATTTAACAAAAAAAGAAATGAAAAATCATAATTGTAGAGGTAGAGGAATTACTATCCAAAGGCTTTCCCAAGATGTTGTTATCAGTGGTATTGGCGTCCATTCGCTTATTACATAGTCTTGAACCACCTAAACACATAAGAGCATCTCCAACCGATGTATCAAAAGTGCCACATAGATATTTAATGGCTAGAAATAACATCTCACATCTCTCCAACCGATGTGTCAAAGCTGATGTGGAATGAAGGCTGGAGGTTGAGATGTTATTTTTGACATCCCAAAAGCAAGATGTCAAATGAATATTTTATTATTTTTAAAAGATAGCTGGTTGTTACTTTCATTTATTATTTTCCTTTTTTTATTTTTTTCTTCTTTATCTTAAATAATTTGACTGTTACAATAATTATTTATTTGACATATCAGGTGGAATGTAAAACTGTGTAAATATCAAATTGCCACATTAGCCATCAAATTTAAATTTGATGTTTGGTATTTGACATCTCCCTTGGAGATGCTCTAAGGAATATGGCAGGCAAAAGGGATGCTTTCAAAGGATTATCAGCATTCAGAAGGCAGTAAACATACTGAACCACAGAGTAAATGCACTGTAAGATGCCAGCAACTAGTCCAAAAATGTTAGGAAGAGTACCAAAAGGCGTATGTCGAGGAGGTGGTGGATGATAAAACCACCAGAGCATTCCCCTGTTAAGATTTTATCTAGTTACAGCAGTTGTTTTTTAAATAAACTAATTATCCTATTATGTAGGAAGTCATGTTGCACGTTGTTATGTTTACCAAGTCTTTAGGAGTCTCCCAGTAGTGGAGCATTTTGTTAGTGGTGTCAGTAATGGATTAAGTTAGTAGGAGTCATGTCCTTGAATTTAGCATAGTCTGGTGATGTAACGTTCTATTTAAGTTCAACTTTACCAATATACAAATTACGCTTTCCAACACCTTTTCTCACCTGTGTTTGGATTTTGAGTTTAACTCTACATCTGATATCAGAGCTCCCTACTGGGGCCTGACATAAAAGTTCCCACAAAAGCAGTAAGCTATAATTGCACTTATGACAGTAAGTTACTATAGCGTCTGACAAGGTTACAGACAACTATGTGCACACAGCCATACCACACTTTGATGGTCATTATTGTGGGAACCGAATTAAATCATACCGTAGGTCAAATAATTCCTTCCATTTGGGGATTATTTGACCTAATTGAGAGTTACTCAACCTAATTGGGAGTTACTCAATTTAATTGGGAGTTACCCAATTAAACTGAGAATTACCTAATTAAGTTGGGAATTGATTTGATTCCTACCTCAATTCCCAATTAAATGAGGAGTTACCTAATTAAATTAGGAATTGATCTGATACCTACCACGATTAGGGATTTGATTTACCCTAATAAATCAAATCCCTAATTAATCAAATCAATTCCAAATAGGGGAGGAATAATTCCTTTCCATCTATGGAATTATTCCTCTGAAACCCTAATCTCCGAGACCATTATAAATACTTGGCTACGCACAAAGGTCAAGGTACGTCTAAATTCCTACTGAAACTCTGCAGAAATTATTTCTCACAAACCCTAGCCACCACTTTCTTTCTCTCTCTGACACAAGGCTCCGGCCACCACACACGGCTCCGGCCACCCG